CCTTGAGCTGCTCGATTCGTTTACAACCCTATGCATAAGATAAGATGAAATCATATGTTGACATAATTAGCTAAAAGCTGAGTGTTCGATTCAAACTTCAAAGTGATGACTGAGTAGGTAAGCCTAGTAGACTCTTCTTATCTTGGATTTGAACCACCAATATGCCCCTATAGTCCTACAACCTATTTAGGTGTTAGATTCTCTTGGCCAAGATCGTCACTATCGTCTAGATTTGTTAAACAAAATAGAGTTGCCGTGAGCTCGGCTCATTTGATAAATGAGTCGATCACGAGCTCTCTTAAAGCTCGTTTTGTTAACGAGCTCGACTCTAAAAGCTCAAAAGATTATTTTTTATATATTTTGTTGTAATTTAGCTCTTGGCTCGAACTCGACTCGTTAATATAGTTAAATGATTTGAGCTAAAGCTCGTTAACTTAACGAGCCGAACTCGACTTGGCTCGTCAAGGGCTCAAGCTCGAGCATCTTGAGCTCGAGCTTGGCTCGTTCAGCACGCTTCCGAAGTAATGCACCATTACGAGCCTGGATGACAAGCATCAATAGAAATCAGATCATCATCAACCAACCCAACCAAACATAGATTGGTAACAAAAAATAACTAGAATGAAAAGGAAAACCCCACTGTGATGATGATATCAAAATATTAACTTCCTTCTCACTAAGGGTGTCATTGTTTTGAAGAATAATCATAAATTTAATTTATATATCCATAGGCAACATGTACAAAAATAAAAGGACAAGTACATCACTCATTCCAGCCATCACACTTGAGTTTGTTTACATTCATCAACAGATACTGCAGCCACCCGAAGCACTCGCTATGAAGCTGGCAAGAAAAAGTTAATGCAATCAGAGCTGTGAAAGAGAATCGGGTAACCTCCTCCGCAGACTTGAAGAAGACCCCCCTTTAAGTGAAAAAAATAGCACTCCGCAGACTTGAAGAGACCCCCCTTTAAGTGAAAAAAAAATAGCACAGATGTTATCACTTGCTTACAAAAATCATAAACAATAAAGTGAATGTTGTGATCATGAAAACCTAAAGAACATAGTTGATATAGTGAGGCAAAGAATCCCGAATACATTTCTACATTCATCAATATCTAAAGGCCTGAGAAAACTCAACTTGATGGGAAAAAAAAAAAAGAAGAATGCTATATGCGTAAGACAAAAAACATGCTAATCGAACTTGACTTTCGTCCACAGCTCGATACAATCTCCATTTGAATAATAATCAGACCAAGCTGAAATACAAACTTCAAAGTTCGACAATAATTCAAACAAGCTTGAAAAAGATATATACTTTACACCCCTCATAAACAACCAATTTGAGTTCTCATCAAATCCACACAGGCTGCATGAATACATTACTAACTTCATCACATTTACACTCTCTTCTCCCTTTAAACCAAGAAAAAGAAAACAAATCAATCTTCACGCTTCTGCAAAACCTTTTCAGAGCCAAAGGTATCCAATACACAAATGCGTATAATAAAAATCTGACGAAAACAAGTAGAGCTGTCAAACGAACCCAACGCTTCGCAAACACAGATCGGTTCAGCTCGTGAAAGCTCCCAGCTAATCAAACTTTCTTATTAAATGAGCCGAGCCGAGCTTATTCGGGAACATCTCATACTTTTTTACTTTTTATAGGTTTGAAATGAAATGATTCAAGATGAACTTGATCGCAAACAGCTCAAAACAGCTCGTTCACAACGAGTCAAGCCGGCTTGTTTTTATACCGACACAAGCTCGAGCTCGAGCAGAAGCTACTCGACTCAGCTCGGCTCGAACTACACCCCTAAATTTTCACGAGATAATTAACAATTCAGCACAAAAAAACCGAAAATCGTAAGAACAAAAAATATACCGTGTGCCCTTTTCTTCTAGTGCCTTTTCCTTCTATCTGGTTGCTTCTCAGTTGCTAATCTGTATATCCAATAGACCTTCACAGAGAGACACAAAATCCATTAGAAATTGTCCAGAAAAAACATATGAAACAAAATCAAATAAAATGTTGATCTCGCGAGATGCAGATACCGACCAGCGCAATAACGTGGGAGACGACGAGGATGACGACTATGAGAGGTACGAGGTCGAGAATCCATGGCCGCGACGAAGCTTGCTGCGGGTTCGCCATCGCGATTTTGCTCAAACGAATTGTATTTGCTCTTTACACTTTACAGTCTTAAACCCTCATTTGCGGCTCTTTGCGTGCTCCCATTTCAATCTTGCAGGCTAAAGCTTGGCAATTTACACATAATATTTATTCTCTTTATGTTTTTGTCGACATAATTAAATTATAAAATTTAATTATTGTTTATTTTCAATTAAATTTTCCACACATATTTTTTACAAAAAAATTTATTTATTTATTAAATTAGTATTTTTATCGCATCAACTTTAATTATTATATTTTATTTATTTTATGTTTGTTTGAAATGTTAACAAATATTTTATTTTTTCTACAATAGTTTTTACCACTCTTTTTTTTTTTTTTGGTACAAGAAAAGAGGCCGAAACTTAGAGGGACCTAAAGCGCCACCGGACGTGGGTAAGCCACGCCTACAATATCATGTTGCAACCAATGGCCAAGCTCCCACGATGGGTCTAAAAGACGATGATAACCACCGGAACTGCAACAGCAAGAGAGGCCAACTTATCGGCCGAGAAGTTACCTTTCCGATAAATGTGTCACAATCGAACAATCCAGCCGAACCTGAGCATCTCACGTATAGCGTGAATGATGTTTGAATGGAGGCCCAAATTATCCTTAGCCCCTGTTACAATAGCTACGACACTACTATTATCCACCTCCACGAACACTTCCTCCACTCTTTAACTCACTTGTTTGTAGCTTTCAAACAAATTTCTCAAAATAATTTATACTCTAAACCACTATCATTTCTCAGTTTATTTTGTAAGTGTACTATAAAATTGCCAATTTTTATACTCTGTGTTTATTAGGTAAAATATTTCAATGAGTAAGATATTTTGTTAGGAGTAAAAGAACAAGCTGCCTAATGGTTACCTAATCACATTATTCACTAATTACCAAAATTAATATTTATATTTATTTTTTCATATTGTTCATTTTTATAATTATTTTACGATTTTTTTTTGTTTATTTATGATTTTGTAGTATTTTTTCTTATTTTTTAATATTTTAAGTGTTTATATTAATTAAATATTCAATCAAATTATATTTTTTATTGACACAATTATACATATTACACCTCACCATCTTACTAGTTAAGGTGTTCTCTTGAAAAACAACTAATAATAATCTAAACAACCAAAATTTTAAAGTACGACATTAAATCTTGGTTTGAATACGCTATGCTCAATTAGTATAAAGTTTTAAGTGGACTTTGTACTTGACTTTGGATAATGGGCTAAGAGGTTCACTTGTGATGCAAAAAGAAGTCATAAGATAAGATGAACAACTAACCCAATAAAAATTCGGGTACGAAAATTAGGAAAAATGCACCCGACCCATGAGATTTTTAACCATCGGATCAATCAATACAAATATGTGCATAAGTGTGTGTGATCTGACAGTTTAAACGAAAAGTTAAGAGTTGTCGAATTTGTAGACAATAAATGGTGGTGTGGGGTATAAAATACTACAAAATCTAAATAAAAAAAAAACAATATAAAAACACACGAGTCAATTTTAAATTATTAATATTATCTTAACACTTATATAAAATAAAATTAAATGTTTGATTTGGTATCCATAAGATACTATGTATAACTTTATTATTTATTACTATTGTATATATTTATATCAATTTATTATATACAAATAAAATATATATTATAGAACGAACGAGTCCCACAATTAACAAGGGTCATTTTAAATAAAAATAATTATAGACAATTCTAAATAATAACATCTATTTTCATATTTTTTAGTAAATTGTATAAGTTTTTTAATTAAAATATAAGCAATGCATATGCACGACTATTAAATTTTCTATTTCATTTGACTGTCAAAGTTTTAGAAACTACTCCAATAATTATTTGTATTTACAATTACATCCCCCCTTTTTTTTTCTATTTTCTTTTCTTCCTTCTTTTAAGCTCTGTTTCTCTCTCATGGGCATGGCATTTTTTCTTCACCTGGTTCTTCTTTCTACAGGTCTCCTTATCTCTCTAGCTCCTGTTTATCTAAAAATTGCATATTTTTTTCATGGATTTTTCTTATTACTGTTTATTTTTTTTCGTTTTGCAGAGAGTCTGTTGAATTTTTTTTTTTTTTTTCGTGATAAGAATTGGGTTTCGAAATCAAGAAAAAAAATAGAAGAAAAAAAAATGAGAAAATTGAGAATTTCGCAACTGTTGATGATGTTACATGCGCCAACGGACAAACATGATGTTCTGTATTTCTCTTTTCTTTTTCCATAATTGCCTTTCCTTTGTACGCTATTGTAATGAGATAACGGGGTTGCACAACTCGGAGAAGTTAAAAATGATATCTTTCTGCCCTTTTCCTTTATGGGCTTGCTAGTTATCGACACGTTTATCGGATCTGTTAATAATCTTGAAATTTGGTTTGTGGGTTTTGTTTTGTTTTGTGGGTTTGCCTGAAATAGTTTTCTAATTTTCTGTTATGAGCAGGTTGGATTGGATGCCGTGATTGGGATTGAAATTGGTTCTGATCTTGTGATGGTGTGATTAGATTCAAGAAAAAAAAAATTCTCATTTTTGGGGTTATAATTATTTCTTTAAAGAAAAAGATAGGTTCTGTGGGTAATACCTGTAATAGTCTTGAAAGATTGAAAAGCCATAGTTGTTTTTAACAAGAATTCGAGATAATATTGGCAGCATGGGTTATCTGAATTCAGTGTTGTCACAATCTTCAAGCAAAGTCCACGTGGATGATGCTCCGGTTAGCGGTGGCGGCCTAAGGTGATCCTCTAATCCCTCTCTGTTTTTATCATATACAACATCTTATTTCTTCAGATTTTTGGTGAGTTTGAGGTTAGTAATACTATAGATTCATATAGCTTTGAGATTTAGTCTAATTTCGAATATCTGGGCTTCTTGTACTCACAAGTGCTCCCTTGATGTTTGTTTCAGTTTTCTAATTGACCTCAAGGTGGGTTTTTGTGAGATAAATAAAAACCTCAAAGGAGTGTTCATATCTATTTCTACAGGGGTTATGTAATTTGGAAGCGTAGATTTTCTGTAATTCAGCTATACCTGTGTAATTATCTCGTGTAGATGTGCAGTCATGTTTTTGTTTAAAATTGTCGAAATTATTATATAAGTGGGAAGAAACAAATCTTAAACCTGAGTTGATGACTTTACTATGTTTTTTTGGTGTGCTTGTTTTTCATTTAAACTACATATGGTGTGTGCTTATCAATCAGGCGATTCTGCTGAGTGTATAGTTTCTGTTTTTGAATATGAAATAATAAGATGTTGTTGATAACTGGTTAGTATCTTGTCCTCTCATTGGTTGGCTATGATTGGCTACTTACTTGAGTTCATGGGTTTTGTGATTCGGTTAGTATGATTGGTTGGTTGGATCAAAATTTTTCCTGGACGGTAAACAAGCGATTCAGGAAACAATTGCTTATTATTATTATAATCAAAAAAATTACATCACCCATTATACGTGTAAAAGAAACAAACTTCTACTTATGAATGTGAAGTTGTCGTCACTCGTCATGCATATTTGGACATGTATGAGGTTATTACATTTTTTTTTTGTGGTGCAAGAAGCTAAAAAAATTGTTTCTTGGCTTATCTGGTGATGCACCTTGATTGGTTTTCTATTTAAAAATGTTTTGTATACCGTTTACTTTCTTACAAGCAGTACATTGTCAAGTTTTTTTATTAAGGAAATGGGTGCATTTAATAGAACTCTGCGGATTTTATTCAAAAAATGGCAATTGTGTTAATTTTACCTCGGTTGTCTTACGATTGTTGTATATTTTATTTACTATTGTCCAGTCAGAATGGGAAGTTCAGCTATGGGTACGCGAGTTCTCCTGGCAAAAGGTCTTCAATGGAGGATTTTTACGACACAAGGATTGATGGCGTAGATGGGGAGATTGTTGGTCTATTCGGAGTCTTTGATGGTCTCTCTCTCTCTCTCTCACACACACACACACACACATTTATTTTAAGCTCTCAACTGTCTGCCTAGAAAGTAGAAAAGAAGGGAGGACAAGTTAGATGGATTGAAGTTTCAATCGAGCTCTTTAATTAAAAAATAATAAAAAAAAGACAGTGAAAACAAAACAAAGAAAAAAAATTCATATAGTATAAAAACTGGAAACTTTTTTACGTGTTATAATGTTTCGAATTTTTCATGTTGCACCTGCTATTAAGGAGATGCTATATTTTGGGCAATTTATAATATATTTTCTGAAATGTAAAATAGGTCACGGTGGAGCTCGAGCTGCAGAATATGTGAAACAAAACCTTTTCAGTAACCTGATAAAGCACCCGAAGTTTATTTCTGACACAAAATCAGCTATAGGTATTCTCCTAGTGAATCCAATTTGTTTGCACTTTTTGAGTTTTACAAGTTGTTCTTCATTTTATTTTATTTTATTTGAAATTTGCTCCCATTTTCAGCTGATGCATACAGTCATACTGACTCAGAATTCTTGAAATCGGAGAACAATCAGAATCGAGATGCTGGGTCAACTGCTTCAACTGCCATCCTAGTTGGCGACCGTTTATTGGTGGCAAATGTTGGGGACTCGAGAGCTGTTATTTGCAGGGGTGGTAATGGTAAGATTCGCAAATCTTTTTATTTTTTATTTTTATTTAAGTTAATCTTTTTTCGCCTAGTGTTCTGTTTGCTCTAGCATTGCTCAATTCCATTGCTTTGTCAAGAAAGATCAAATAAGTTGTAGGGCTCAAGGAGGTGTTGGTGAAAAGAAAAAAAATTGTACTCACATAAATAAAGACCTTGATAAACTGTTTTTCTATATTACCCTTTGTACAAAAATTTGAATAAACACATCAAGAACATAATAACTTGACCTTATAATAATTTGATTGAGTTCTAATCTTGTGGAATTTTGACATTCTGAACAAGCTTTCTGTACCATTTTTATTTTACAGCTATTGCTGTCTCGCGAGATCACAAACCAGATCAAACCGATGAGAGGCAAAGAATTGAAAATGCTGGAGGTTTTGTGATGTGGGCAGGTAAAAGAACTCCCTCTCCCTCTCCCTCTCCCTCACTCTCTCTCTCTCTCTCTCTCTCTCT